TGACTCGCCAAAGCTCCACCAGGAGACGTGCGCAAGGTCTTTGACCTCCAATCAATCCATGGCTCATAGTGTTCCAACCATGTCATTCCTAAGATGAGGTCATACCTTGCATCCAAATTTAACACTAGACAGTGTTCCACGCTATCAAAGTCAAGAAACTAGACTCAGAGTTCCAAAAAGACCTTCGGGACCGTGACACATGTTGCTGCGTCCAAATGATGTGTCGAAGTGGTTTAAACACGCCAATCACAACTACAAGTACTCAGACAAACACAAGACATGACATCTCTGTCCCCGTCGCTAGTCGAACAGTGACGATGTCACCCAACCGCGCTTTCAGCACCTCAGTATACAGCTGACTTCCTTCCATCGTGGAGCGTCGAACATAATTGCTCGACATCCCGGAATCGATGACGATCTGCCATGGCTTCTCGAAGCCCTATAAGATCGCCTCCACGACCAGCAAGCCCGGCTTGCATACACGTTCCGGGTTCAAGCGCACGGAGCAATTTGGGGCTAGGCCCTGTTGACCACTACATTTCTGAGGTTGCACAGAACTTAGTTCTTCCCCACTAGGTCGCCCCGCGTCTGCTGGGTGTTGTCGTTTCCCCGCGACGAGGCAGACTGGTAGGAATTGGGCCGATGGCCCAAAGAACCTTGACGGGCCTTGCGCAGGGGAACCGTTTCGAAGGTGACGGGCGTCTCCACAGACAAAACACCGTCGTGTGTTTGTGTGCTGCCCGGCAGCTCGGAGCTCTGCTCCCTCGTCTTCAGTATAGCTGGGATTCATGGGCCCAGGCCCGCTCGACGAGCTGTTGGAGTGTGCATTCCACCATGTCGTGCCGACTTGAGATTGAATTCGGCATTCAATGCTACATTCACCGCCTCTTCAAATGAGGGCGGATGCACACGAAATACTTCCATTCTGGCCACGCCAGTGCGGAGGCCTTTCATAAAAACGGCCATTGGACCACCTCCGGAAGGGAATCAGCTGTCATCCCGGCAAAGAGAGTGCGCATCTCTTGGACAAAGTCCACCAACTCTTTGTTGCCCTGTCGGGCGGCGAAGAAACGCGATCGCACGCGATATGCCTGAGTAGGCTGCGAGAACACTCGTCAGAGCTGCAATTTCATCTCCGCCCAGGAGGGAAACGCAGCTTCGACCGAAGTGCCGCACGTCAAGGCCATTCTCGCGCTCGACCACCGAGCTTTGAGACGGCCAGCGCTACGCGCTACTGCTCGGTCTGGAGCGTGGCGGATGCGATGGCCATCTCGACCTCTCTCACCCAGAGCATGAAATTCTCTCCATTTCTCAACTCAAAGACCTTAACGCTCACCATGAGCGGCTTAAAGCGGGGAAAATCATCCGTCACAGACGGTGGCGTCATAGACGCAAATGATGCAGACATCTTCTGCTACAGGTGCTCTAGCAGCGCGTTTTCGTAACTTGAAAACACCTCTAGACGCGCGCATATTGCCTCAAGACCTTGCGCTACAAGGTGTTGCACGCCATCAGGGCCAAGCAAGGACATCAGCTTGTTAAGTACGTTTCGCATGCCTTGGGGCAAAGAGGAGAATTCATCCATCCTCACAGAGGATCAGTCTAAACGACTCAGGTGTAGATTGACTACAAGTGCTACCAAGGGCCGTTCCGTATTCTGGTTTGGGAGTGGTCACACCATGCCTATCTCGTGTGACACACACCTCTGTTACCAGGTTACGTGTAAACCGTTATACAGATCAACGTAGTAAACATTGTCGATTCTTCCAATATCATCCGTTTCAATGTCCGAGGTGCGACATGTATGTACACCACGTGACGTTTCTCACCGCCGTCTGGGTCAGAAATTTCAATCTAGTCTCAAGCTCAATGCGCGGTGACGCATTACAATTTCCACTACGGTATCATTATCAGTACTTCTTTTGAACGTCGTTATGAAGTTTGAGGGAAAATGGTGTACGCGAGTGCGTATCTGTTTCAACCTCATCTCCCAGGAGCTATAAGTATGAGCCCCGAAGTTTAGCTTTGGTAAAACGAAATAGGGCGAGCAGAAAAACTTCTTTGTGGTAAGCCCTTTTCCAAGGCTTTTATCAGTGTGAGCACTTCAAGCACGACTACGCCGTGAATTTTCCACTAATAGGTTTACCATAGAGCATGCCACATATATCCACCAAAGAGGACAAGGCGTCTGTGCTCAACGGCCGAAAAGTTATTCTTGTGAGGAAAGCGATGCGGTTTTTGGTGAATCACTGCCCGTCTACCTCAAATACAACACGGCTTTGCCGTAACTCAAAAATCAAAGCCTTTCCGAGATTTAAGCTTCTCCAGTCCTTACGTTCGTTGTTGCCTGGAGCTGCGCACAACGTGTCCATTCTCCTTAGTGGGGGTGTCAAAACGCCCACTCTAGGCATACAATGGGATCGGATCCGTTAGAAAAGAGCTAGACGTTGCTTACATTTGTGTGTCAACAGTCATAGAAAATACAGCAGAATACTAGCCGCTATATCACGTCGTGTTAACAGCTCTGATCGATCCAGACCGACGGAAGCTATTTGACGCTCGCGGTAATTATATGTTTTGACCGGAAACCTAAATTGAGTCGCTTCGTGAGCGCTTTCTAACCCAAAACTTACAAGGTGTACCGCTTACGGCTGAATAAGCAGCTGCGATATCAATTGGTTACTTGTGTCAATAATATACATTGGACTGCGGTCTGATGACAGCGTCGTGATAAGGCTTAGTCCGACCATACAATACCGCTTTTATCATCAATCTCTTTAAGATGATATTATTAATTTTGCTACGATATGTTGCTGAGCTCATATTAGGAAAAGTCAATTAATATCGATAACCCTTTCTTAACAAGTAAGAAACTGTTAAGTGAATCTCTGGATGTGGCGAATGCTATCAATGAAATTTTTAGTTAAGATTGTAAGGGCATTTGAGGCAGGCCCACCACGGCACTAGACCCAGTATAGCTAACCTTTGCTTTAAGCCGAAGGACAGTAATGTAAGCGGTAGTATCCTGTCTCAATTTGATGAAACATGAACGATCATCAAATGTCAATTAGGAATTTGCGCTTTTTCTTTAAACCACTTTTTGATAAGATAATATCCAGCTTGAACAAGTGCTTACTAAACGTTTTATCCCTTCCACACACCCTGTAAGCCGTGGCGTTTTGCGCTCGAATAGGCTTCTTTGCGACTTCGGAAGAATTCTTGTCTGAGCAACGAACTGTAGCGCCTTCCGAAAATGCAAAACCGTAACGGTCGATGAACATTTCCTCGTATTTTTAATTTCTTGCTGACTACTGATCAGATCAGCTTGCAGCTATCAGCTGGTCTGCTTGGTGTCTTTGCCGGTTGCATGTATAGATTATGTCTGCTGCAAGCTCGCTCATGGATCCAAAACGTAGCATGTCTACGCTTCATGGACGTTGTAATTGTACTTCCATACGCTCGGAAGGGCTATCGCTGAGAGACGTTCAATAATCTGACTATCACTAGACGCAGCAACGATAAATTAAAAAAATGTCTAAACCACGGCAGCATACAAATGCAGCACTCACTATCAAAAGACGATCCTATTTATTTAGATTCGAAGAAATAGATGCCGCTTTTAATCTAGATCTGCAGTGCGTACTAGCACCAGCAGAGCTGCTCCACTTTACAATTAGTATGAGCCAGTCAATCGGAGGGTTGAGAAAATAAGATGATTTCAGTGCGTGGCGACAAGTTGCTTGCCGAGCAGCTTCGTGATCTCAGGTAGCATAGGCGAGGCGTTAATGCCACCACATTTTAAATTGTGGCGTAAGCGGTACACTTTACCGCATCATAAACGCCTCCCTTTTCGAGCACTCGGAGATCTGTAGTTTGGGACCGCTGTCTTCGCAAATAGAAGGTAATGCTTGCTATCGTAAAATTCCGTTGCGCTGGCAACAGTGAAACACCGGTAAGCGCGAAGAGAGGAAAAACGTTTCATTCAGCCTTTGAATGTGTTGGTACCCTCGAGTAATTGAATGCCCTCTCCGAGTAATAGATTCCGTTTAATTAGATACTAGACATGTTTGTATTCCGTCAGATGGCTGGTGAGATGGTGTACCCCATGTAATTCTCATCCGTTACCTTACATACTCGCAGCCGTCTTACATTATAAGTGAAACGAAGAAAGAAACTTCATGATTATTTAGCCAAGTGTATACAAAAGTAAAGAAATCAAACTTTTCATTTAACATGGCAGAAAAGTCGTCTTCAATAGCATACATAAGTTATTCGGCAAAAGTTCCTTTTCGAAAAATTTGGCTCGAAAAGTATCAATTTAATCCTTAGAATAGTGCGATTACGTGTCACAAATTATAGACCAAAGAATATGGCAGCAACCGACGGTTGTGTTCTGCTGCTTCGGCTGCTGGAATCACACTTCGATCAGAAAGCAAAAGGATATATAATATTCACCTGTTTAAATGGCGACTGTATTTCGCGCTTTGGAGAAGCTAAAACTACCTGGTGGTCTGCATCGTGAACGTATTCAATGGCTTTATGAAGGTGCGACGCTGAAATCCGATGGCAGCTACTTACTCTACTGGATGCAGACGTCCGTGCGTACCAAGCAGAATTATGCATTAGAATATGCAGTAGCAGCTGCAAATGAATTGAAGGTACCTCTACACGTTGTTTACCTGTTTCCAGATCGCTCGGTACTTCCTGCATTGCAATCGTCAAAAGGCGATGAATGGAAAGCTGAAGCACTTCAAGATGCCAATGCTCACGCATTTGCCACTGAAAGACACGCTTTGTTTGCGCTTGAGGGGTTGGCTGACGTGCATCAGCGGCTTGTAGGTCGTGGTTTAAGTTTTGATGTGTTCCACCATCAACAGAATAAAAAGCGTCTTGCTCGTAACGAACTGCTCGAGATCTGTGCGCGGAAAGCTGCTTTGGTAGTAACGGACCGTCCTTACCTAAGACCATGGCGCTCTGCACTGGACAATTTAGTGTCATCAGTGGAAGATCAAGGTGCTAACTACGGTATTGTTCAAATCGAAGGTGACGTCGTGGTGCCAGTTGCAGAGGTCACAGATAAAGAAGAATTCTCGGCGCGTACTATACGTCCTAAGATCATGAAGCTTGTAGACCGATATGTCGCCAGTTTAGAAGTGATGGTTCCGGACAAAGTATGCAAAACAGAGGGACAGACTTTGCTGGCAATTCTCGAAAAACCAGAGCAGCTGAAGGTGCTGGATGTGACGAGCCCGGTAGCTGTAGATAAGACATTACAGTTACTGGATGTTGATCATAGCGTGAAGAGTGTAGGCTGGCATTTTAAAGGAGGCGAGGTCGCAGCTTCTGCGTGTGCTAAAGAGTTTTTGACTCCAGACAAACTAGCAAGTTACGCAACGGAGCGCAATGAGCCAAGTCTGGACGCTGGTAGTGATTTGAGTATTTATCTACGCCACGGACACATATGTGTGGTACGTATTGTGCTCGCTGCGCAGAAATTGAAGAAAGTGGCGAAGGCAAAAGAAGGTTTGGCGTCGTTTCTTGAAGAACTTATTGTACGTCGTGAATTGTCGTTGAATTTGGTGACGTTCAACCATCAAAATTACGACTCAATGCGTTGCCTACCAAAATATGCGCAGACGACATTAAAAGACCATATTGATGACAAACGAGAGAAAATATATTCGCGTGAAGAACTTGAGTCTTATCAAACCGAAGATAGATTTTGGAATGCTGTACAGCGAGAGCTAGTTGTCACGGGCAAGATGCATGGGTACATGCGCATGTATTGGGGAAAGAAATTGTTGGAGTGGACTCGAACGCCCGAAGAAGGGTTTCATGCGGCGTTGGTGCTCAATAATAAATACGCTTTAGATGCACCGGACGCGAATTCCTACGCAGGCGTGGCTTGGACGTTTGGAAAGCACGATCAAGGCTGGAGAGAGCGCCCAATTTTTGGCAAAGTACGCTACATGAATGAGACCGGACTCAAACGCAAATTTCGAATGGATGCGTATGTACATAAGGTTGGACGACTAGCAGCTCAGGCCAAGAAGGCATCGAAAGGTGGAGACTTAGACGATGAAAAGCATTCAAGCTCAAGCGTTGGTCATAAGAAAGATGCGAGGTCTCTTAGCGCGGAAAAGAACGAACCAGCGGCTAAGAAAAAGAAGATGCAGCATCGGTAAATGGGAGCAGGTCTGTTCTCTTAGTGCATATCCACTACAAAAAATTTAGACTCATTGCATTTGCTGGTAACTAGAACTAGACTTCGCTAGAATTTTGACACAAATGTTTCTCGTTGAGCAGAAAAGTCTACGGGCCAAAAAATACTTTATGGACTAGATACATTCCGTACCTGTCCACCATTTCAAAAAAACGATGCAGTATAACGTCTCGAAGCAGAAGGTGAATGATTTAACGCTAGAAAAGCAGAGGCTCCGTTTAAAACCTAGAGGGATTTCTCAGTGCAAATGTGCTTAAGAGTGCTGCGCAGTGCTTACAGCACGTAATCTCATTTGTTTCTCTACTGAATGACTGTCGTTGAGATAGCTTCAATCTTTACTGTAAGAATTTAAGTTACCTTCCTCTGCCCTTTCAGACCTTCATCACGCCGTTGTCAACCTTTTAAACGATCGCAATGAAGACAACAAGACGGACACCCGGCAGTTCGTCTACTTTTTTAAGCCCTTCAGCATCTTCTGCCGGCGGCCAGCCGAGAGCTTGTTTTGAGCGAGAAAAGGTGCCTGGATGCTGCTATACTTGTTCTCGTTGCCCGGATTAACACCACCACCGAGACCACGATCAACGCTCCTATTAAGATTACTACTACTGTCTCCACCCACCATACGGTCGTTCGTGCTTGGAAGCGATGAGCTCGATGGCGGCTGAGCAGATGGTGCCGGCGGAGGAGAAGCACGATTTTGCCGCCATGTATACGAATCTTGCGCTTTTACCGCCTTTCGTTGTTGGGGTTGTTGCGACTGAGACGGCGGCGGTGATGGCGAAGGTCCCCTTTGCTGGTACTGCACCGGAACAGATGCAGGCGGCATAGGTTTCGGTGCCGAGGTACGTGGCTGCACAAAATTTCCATTTCGAACTTGAAATTTGAGCGTCAAAGGTTTCTGCATCACCTTGAGCAGCGTCATCACTTCCTCAAATGATTTGTCACGCGCATGCACGCTACGTCCGTCAATAGAGATAAGGCAGTCGTTCATTGCAGACTGTGGCAAATGTGCTGCGCTTCCGCTTCCCGTCACGCGGGTAATATAGGGATACTCGCACGTTTCATCAGCTCCGCGCAGCGAAAGTCCAAGGGGAGTATTGTCTTGCCACACCAAGTTGTAATATTGAACGCCACTGTCTTCACCTGCAGGAGCTAGCACTGCTTTTCGGCTATGACTTGGAGTTGGCGTATTGTACTGAGTCGATGAGCTTCCATTGGAATTTGATGAGTATGAATTGTGTTGGTCATGGTTGGAGTGGGCAGTCTTGCGCCTGAAAAAAAGGGTTACTGGTCGGGGCACATTTTTTAAATGTGCAACAATGTCCTGAAATGGAACACGCGATACGTCCATGTCGTTAATGTGAGTCACGTCATCACCGATGCAATCCTGAGAAAGATGAGCTGCTGCGCCGTTTGACGCAATGCGCTTGATAAATGCACCAGTATGCGGCTTAGCATCGACTGTAAGACCCAATGGACCTGATCCCCAAACTACCTTGTACACGTTGCTCGGTGATTCACGCGAAACTTGTCTGACAATCTCGGTTGAATGATGAGCTGGCTCAGGGGAACTCATGCGCATCGAAGCTTTGTCGTGGTTCGAATGCGTACTCGAATCGCTTCTGGCAGACAATGATGTGCCATTATTACGGTACGAAGACGGACCTCTGGAATCATCATCATCAAAAGCCGCTTGAAAGCATAGCAGCACAGGCTTCTGTGCTGTCTTCAAATAGGACACGATGTCTTCAAAGTGCATTGTGGCGGCCTTGATCCCATTCATGCTCTCTAAGAAATCACCCACTTGAGCTTGGTCAATCCCAGCAGAATTTCCTGTACCAGTGACCTTTTTTATTACTGGAAGATCGCCTTCATTCAATCCAGGAATGATCGTAAGGCCCAAAGGTCCTTCACCCCAGTTTACGGAGTATTTGCTAGGTCGTGACATGCTCATGCTAAGGTTCATCACTGACGACGCACGTTCACTAGGTTGGCGCGACACAGTCCGGCTTCGATGCTTTGACGATTGAGCAGAGGCTTCACTTTTCGATACTGGCACGGAAGGGGGTCCACCAACTCCCCGAAATCGAAGTTTGGCGGGCAATTGCACTTTCTTCAGTATCGACATTGAAAGCGAGCAGCCAAGTTGTATTGTGTCAATATTATTGATGGCGACAAGTACATCTCCAATCGCAATATTCTGTTTTACAGCCACGGACCCAGCCTTCTTGGTCAATCGATTTACAATTGGAATTTTCTGCGTGACACAGTCATCCTTCAGCGTCACACCTAAAGGACCATTTGACCACGTCACAGAGTAGTCGTGTACTTTGCTATTTGCGGCAGTGGGATCTCCTGCCTCGAATTTCATAATGATCGGTGATGCGTAAGCTGCAAAGACATCGTTCAGATCTTCATCAGTGAGCACCGAGTCGTCAATAGTGCGTCCATTTATTGAAAGCAGCTTATCACCCACACATATATGTGCGAATGATTCATCACCGTCTAGATCTGTTATGATATTCCATATGCTTGTCCTCTTATCAGCACGAAAGCGCAGACGTGGCAAAGAACTGTGTTTCCACACGACAACACGCAGTGCCTCAAATGCTGGACACGAATTATTCCACGACGACTCCTTTGACACGCTCCGTGTTCGACTGACACTTACCCCGGAGGATCCATCAATTGCAGCCACGCCAGCATCTGCAGCCATTTCAGCCGAAAGAGGAGCCTCCATCTTATCTTCAGATTGCGGATTCGATACCAAAAACGAATGTTCCATGGACTTTTGCAGTGTCTGCATCTCCTGTGAATCCATTTCTAGTCCATTTTTCTTGGCCAGCGCTGTCCAGAAAGTCGTTGTAGACATCTCGCTCTGAAAACGTTCCCGCATTTCCATAATGATGCGGTTCATTTCGTCATCGCGCCAGTTGGCTTTTTCGGCGCGCATGCGAGAGTCGATCGCCTGCGCAATACGTGCTTCTTCTTGTTTTTTTAGCCGCTTCAGAATTTTCTCTTCAATGCGTTTCTCTGTGTCGGCATCAAGACTCACCTTCCGCTAAAAAAAATAGTGTCATATGTTAATGTCAAGACATCACGGCTCAGGAGGCTTGATTATCAACTTACTGAGAGTCTGCCTCCCGAAGACTCGATACTGCGAGAACTGTTCACTCGGCGGGCCTTGGAACGGCCTTTCTTCTTGCTCTTTTTCTTCTTCGGCTTTGCCTCTTCCTCCTCTTCCTCCTCTTCTTCGTCATCCTCACCAGAGTCAGTTTCATACTCTGCACTTGAGTCTGTCTCGTAATCATCGGAATCGTCAGCTTCCGATTCAGCTACAGAAAAGAGATCACAACAACTTAAAATACCATAGTAATTAGCTCTAGAGTTAAAAGAACTCACACTCAGAGTCATTGAACTTTGAGCATCGCAGATTCCGACAGCGCAGACGATGTGCCGATGCATGGTGCATATTGCATTCCTACAGACATCACAGGCAATACTTAGACCCCACTCCCTCTTTCTCCTCTTGTTCTTTAAACGGCCATACCCTTGAGCAATAGAACACCTCTCGACATCCACTCATACAAGGTATTTTAGCACCATCTGCGCCGCAATTACCGCACGGCTCCATGCTCTGAAGTGCCATAAGCAGGTCATCATCATCATCGTCATCGTAGTTGTTCTTTGGCATGGCTAAAGTGCTGCTAGCTACAGCCGAGTCTGCAGATATGTGGGAAGAGCGTGATGCTGATCAGCGTAATTGACTAGATCCTACGATCTGCTGCCTGAAGGTGACGCTGTGGAGTGGACTCTAGCTAGTGATTCGTCGTTCTCCGCGCGCGCGGAATGAATAACCTTTGACTGGGCTTCTTCTGGCTTCACTCGCGGTTTGTATGTAATGACGAGCGAACTTAAGCGAGAGACAGCACGGTTGTCAAATCGAAAAAAAACGAGAGGACTCTATTATGTGCAGGCTTTAGAAATTGCATTTATGTCATAAGAAAAATCCAGTGTTTGAGTATACGATAGGGATGCTAGGACAATCACAGAAAATAGAAAGCCTGCTTGCTGATTGCTCAACCAAGAGGTTTGCCTCCTCTTTGTTTCAAATCATATCTTCAGTGAGCACAGAGATTATGTCATTGTTGATTCGATTATTGAATTAAATAACCTACGCTGAAAATCGCATTGACTACTGCGGAAATTGGAATGATAATAGTTCTATCCAGTAATTAAGGAAGGCATGGCGGAGTGATGTATTAAATTTCCATCGAAAATACCAAAGGAGCTGAGTCGCAACTAATTTAGTCCAACATAATGATTAAGTATTCTCTTACGGTAATCTTTTTTCTGAGATCTCAAACTTTCGGTAGTTTATGACTTAAAAGTGTTTAAGCAATAACATCCTAATGATGGAGAGACACGTGACAGGTCACTCTTTGTAACGAGAGTGCATACTGTACTATTGTGTATGCACACATTACACTTGTGTGTGATTTCGTTGGTGGTTCTGATGAGCTCCGTAGAGGAGAGGTCCGTGGGACACGGGGGCTTCAAGCCTCACGTTCGTGCCGTACATAGAGCCTTATCTTGAACTTAGTAAGGCATTTATGTTTTGTATAGGTTAAAATATGCTTAATCTATATTAATGTCACCTTTGGAATAGGAGAGCAAACTAAGTTCGTATACGCAATCTCGGTGAAGCATACTATTTTATCCTCCGTGTGCAAATAAACGATAATTCACAAATTTTGTGCAAGGTCACGGCATTCCGCTGCACTTGTTGTTTAAGTCTTATTGGACTATATATATTTGTGGGGATAGCACACGAGTTCTTCGGCTTATGCCTTCGAAATAGCTAGAAACACTCAAAAAGCTCATGGTTATTTTTGGAGCTGGTACAGTGATCAGAATAGCTCATGTCTAGTTAAAATAATCGCAGGTGAGACGCTTTAAGGAACGCCCCGATGTCGGAGTTGAATCGGATCCTGTTTATATTTAACGCCCAGACCTCTGATAAAAAGAATGGAGGAACGCTCGTTTTCTCCGGAAGTGACGAGGTTAAGACGGCCATCCAGTTGACAATGCTCCTAGATGGCAACGGTGCGTTGATAGCAGTCTCAAAGCTAGGAGCCGCTCGAGTGGATGAGCACGTACACGTCAAAGAGACATTCCAGTCCGGGAAATGTTAAGGCGACATCGTCGATGTGCTAAGCACTCTAGCCTGGTAATTGTTAAAGCGATATCGTCGAGCTGCCAAGCACTCCAGCCTGGCAGTTGTTAAAACGACATCGTCGATCAAGTCAATCAGATTCATTGTAAGTTTTTTTCACCGATCATAGGAAGCAAGAAACTGTGTTTAAAAGTTGAGAGCTGTGACCACCGATATTGCGACAGACGCTCATCGCGAGGAAAAAGGGTTATAATTTTTTGAAGAATCGCCTTGCAGGTGCGGTTCACTTCTATTATTTATGATCGCGAAAGTGGTGTATTCGGAGTACACATTCCGGGCCGCAAAAGTCGGCTATGGCTCAAAACGAAGAACGTATACGAGCGCGCCGGATACAATGATTTTTGACTCCGATGAAGATAAAAAGGGCGACCGCTTAGCTTTCGGGCAGCATCGTGTTACTCGCATGTGTTCTATCTCTGACGGTGACGGACAGATATCAATTTGTGTCCATGCCGGGAGGTATGGATAGCTAGGCTTAAACGAGAAGTCAACTGACGAACTTCACGTGTCGAAACGCTGATCTTGACGTAGGACGCCCTGCGCCTGCTGAATTCTGTCGTACTTCAATACGGGGGGGAATCTAAGGTCTGCTCAAAAAAACAACCCTCATCTTAGAAGAAAGAGCTCACCACCCACAATGGTTGGTTTTAAACATCAATTCTCTGGGAGTCTTGAAAGCCATTTCAGGAGCGTCGTGCAATTGCGTACGACACGTGATTGCTGGAGAGAGTTTTTGAAGTGCCAGGATTGAAATAAAAAGAATTTTTTACCCATATGAAAACAGACGCGCTGGAACAAGTCTGCGATAAATTTTGTTCGTGCAACAGGATTATCGGAGCCGACGAGCAGCGATTTTGCTGAGTGCTGTAAACAGGGCTCGGAAAGCCGAAGCAGTAATGAGTCTCGGTCTCTCCTGGGTGAGGTAAGAACGAAGGCCTCGAGTGTATATTACCTATAAGGCCTTAGCAGCATCTGTCTTCTCTGCCAGAGCCGATGAAGTGCAGGAGCAACTTCACGTCTTGATCTTGGGTTTTGTCTGTTAGCTGCCAAGTTTTGAGGGTTATAAGGATAAACCATCCTTGCCACGACCTAGCAATTCCGCAATCGTGTGACTCACAGGCTTCACGAATTTTCGACGATAGATATTGTGTATACTTTCGGGCAAATTCTGGAAGTTAAGCGTTTCCGCACCACCTCCTCTGGCAGAAACTCTTATTGTGCTTAAAAGACTAGAGTCAGGGAGGTGTTCTCAAAGAGTCACAAGACGTTGAAATCACTGAAATGGTAACCATGATACCCAATGAGGGACTGAGCTATTTGTTGAAAACATTTGAACACCACTGCGTGTGAAGAGTAAAAATTTTTATTTAAGGTCTCTTTTATCCTTCTTTTTTTTGGTGATGGAATATCACCAAAGAGAAACGTACAAATCACCGCGCGTGTTGTCCCCAAGATCGAGAATATTGACTTAAATCTCAAAACCGTATGTTGTGTCCCACGTCATCGGCTCTTATTTTTAAGACACTGTACCGTCTTGTACGCTTCACCCGCACCAAGCAAGAAGCAAGAAGCGGAATGAACAATGGAAAGAATCTCTATATTTTCTGCGTAACAGCAAGTGAAAAATTGTGTCTGTTCATGGGAAGCTTACTGAAGGAGAATATTCCGTAGAATGGCGTGGTTGGCTGCGCTTTACTCATTGCTCTTGAAATAGGTCACTGACTATTATCAACTGCTCACATGGGTCATATCACTGCTATACCCCGAGCGTTGATGCTGTAAGAGCGATTACAGATCGCTAGAGTCTTTATAATTCTTCTACAACCCTCAAGTGTCTTGAAACGCTGCTGTTCCCATCGCATCGTGCCTTTGTTTAAACCTTTTTGACAATCCAATCAATGAATTCGGTGAAGTCGGATGTGGAGAATGTTACCAAACACTTGCGAGAGGTGCTTCAGTGTACGCGCCAAATATTGGCTGTTCTTGCATATAGATAAGTGCTTAGAGCACTGACGAGTCTCTAGTTTTGAGTTTGTTTATTGAGAAACAGAGTCTGTGGATAGACCCTCCAAAGCGAAACGACATTTCCTCCATTCGGAGCTCAAGAAAGTGGCTAGGCCCGGTCACACCTGCATCTCTTCCCTTCAAGAAATTTAGAAAAAGGCGGCTTTGCCGCAAAGATAAATACATTTTCGTTTTCAAACGAAAGAGTGTATTTGTCTTGGGTTAAAATTTTGGGTATACTTGGAGGTAGCGGATTGCTATCCGCTACACTCGTACTGGTTCTAGTATAAAACGTAAGTTCGGTGACCTTAGGTTAGCTTCCTCTAAGCAAAGAGCTACGACAAACCCGCTGCGAGCCACGAAAGGCGTAAATTTCTGCACAAACGCAGACGAAATATCTGCGGTGCGGTGAAACTACACGGCAGCTAAGCTATCTTTCTCTTCTTGCTAAGCATTGGTGATGTCTATTATCTATCGCGCGCCTGAAGAGCTTATATGTTTACCAACTTGTCCTGTACTTCGAAACAGAAATTGTGCTCGCAGTAAAAATGGAGCCCACAGCCTCCTCGAAAAAGGTAGGTGGGCGCGGAAGGTCTCTGTGCGAGTAACACCTGCTTGAAGATTATTATTCATGAAGATGGTGACCGTTACCGCCTTTGGAAGAGGGATTGTGGTGATAACATTTCTTAATTTCTTGATATAGCCCGCCAAACCTCATTTCACCTGACGCGAGGACAAGCACTTCTTACGCAACCTGTATGCCTGGTAAGACAATGCAAGAAGTCTCGTCGTCTGTCCCTTCAAATTTTCTCACGCTGGGAACGTCTCTTCAACCAAATTGTCACATCTCAGTTTTCATTCTCAATCATAAAGCTTGCTTGGTGGTCGTACGTGCAACGCGCTGTCGCTCCTTTGGGAGGATCACAGTATTTGTCCGCTTTGTGGACGCACGAATGCTTGACGCTGATTTATGACGGTCCGTGATTCGAAACTGTTTTTGTTTATCTTTGGAGCTTTGCGATATCTGTGCAAATGAGCTCATGGTACAAAAAATAAGGTCACATTGTCACAATTCGCTATTTTGCTCAGTTTTATGGCTGGTCTTACATCTTGCCAAAAAAGCAAAATATAAAATATTCAAAAAAAAATCAGAAATTGTACGAATGACAACGTTATATTTGCACACTTCTTTTGAATGAATGCATAAACATTCCAGCGGGCGACCAATTCAACCGATCAACTCTTTGATGACCTAGCATACACCGTGTGTCGTAAGACCCGACTTCTGGTGTTTGAGATTGGACTGGAGTGAAAACACAATGTCTTTAAAATGCTTTTTCTCAGCTTTAGGCGACGACAAAGCCGTGTCCACCAAGATATGGTGTTTTTCGAGTGCCTCAATGGCCTTGAGAATATCCTGTACCAACATATTGACCATGTGTGATGAGAAATTTTGCTTTACGACCACACGCATGATCACAAGCGACTCAGCACCACTGGAGCATGTGTAGGCTGGAACAATCCATCCACGACTTTTCAGTTTGTCTTGAATGTCAAAACATGAGTAGCGCGATGAGTCAATCAACGCAAACGCCACGAGAGGCATGTGCTGCTTGTCTACGATACGAAAGTGACCTGTTGCCACAAGTGCTCCACGCAACAGATGTGCATTTTCCATGCTAGCTTCCATGATACGACGGTAGCCATCGAAGCCGAATCGCAGCATATTATAGTATTGAGCAACCACGTTGCCGGCACCCTTGGAAAAATTCAGCGTAAAAGAAGCTTGGTCTCCACCTAAGTAATTGACATGGAACACAAGGTCCTCTGGAAGGTCTTCGGGCTCACGCCACAAAGCCCAGCCCATGCCAGCGTAAACTAGACCAAACTTGTGCCCACTGACATTAATGCTTTTAACATTCGGCAAACGAAAGTCCCACTCAAGTTCCGGATTGAGAAATGGAGCAATAAAGCCACCACTAGCTGCGTCAACGTGCAATGGAATGCTCCATCCATTCTGTTCATTCACTTCTAATAGCATGTCGTGGATGGCCTTGATATCCTCGTACTCACCGTTAAAAGTGCTGCCTAGAATGGCACCGACACCAATGGTGTTTTCATCAAGCAAAGCTCGAGCGCGATCAGCTGTAAGCACAAGGCAGTCAGGTGACACATCGGCCTCGCGAATTTCAACTTCAAAGTATTTGCACATTTTGTGCCAGCACACTTGCACATTCGAGCCAAATACCATATTTGGCTTATCATATGGTAAACCGGCGGCAATACGGCGATCTTTCCACTTGCGTTTCAGTGCCAAACCAGCCAACATAATTGCCTCAGATGAACCGATGCAGCCCGTGCCGGTGGCTTTTTGACCAGACTCGAGCGGCGCGTGGTAAAGGTTAGCTAACATTGTCACGCAGCGATTATGAATCTCTGCTGTCTGTGGATATTGATCCAAGTCAATGTAGTTCTTGCGTAGACCCTCAACCATAAGGTCCTCAGCCTCAGGCTCCATGTATGTCGTTACAAACGATGCAAGGTTCATTTTGGGATTGCCATCCAACGCTAGCTCGTCCTTGATAAGCTGATGGGCTACGCGTGCAGGGACCGAGCGCTTTGGAAATACGTCCAATGGCAAACTAGCGGACATGAGCGGATGACCATACACTGCCTCCGTATCACAATCTCCTGAATATTCGCGTGAAGTGACTTGCATTTTTACTCGAATTCCACGTTGGCCGTTTGGACTTGAGCTAACGAATTCGAAAATGAGTCCGATCTTTCAACCTTCAACCTTTTCTAACGATCGTACTTAATGAAACTTCTTACGATTTTCAAGTAAAAATTGGAGCTGGATACTTAATTGTTCAACTGTAATGTAAATCAGGTGTGCTAGCTTTATCAAAAATCAGCTGGACGGATTGTGTCTCACTGAACATACAAAAATACTGGTGACACATCTAGCTCTATTCAAAAATTTAGCTGCGGCTGATTTTTTGTTGGACTTCATCCTACAAGAATAAATTAGTAAGAATTAATTTAGCGCAGAAGTAGTAAAGTGTTCCGTACCTGCAAGCGTGTAAAAAAGTCTTTCGAGTTGGAAAACTGTTTGGAAGAACCCTCAATCTGTTTTCCCGTAGTAATATTCTTTGCACCGGCAATACTTTCAAGCATCTTTTTCTTGGCATATTTGTTGCCCAAACCTGGATTGAGTTTCGCCACCAAACGCTCATCAAATTCACGTTGGCGTTTTTCCTTCCGCCGTGCATGCTTCTTGGCATTGCGCAAAGCTTTGCGCTCCGTTTGCGTCATTTCTTCTTTGGATTGCAAAACTGCTTCGCCACGTTTGCGCTTCTTCGCGTACACTTCTTCGGGTGCCTTCAGGTTTGCATCGCTCACACTGATGGGCACAATCTCTTCCATCGCAATAGCAGGTACCGCGGGCTTGACTTGCAATTCTTTAACAGCAGGTTTCGGCGTAAAGTAATAGTTTGATAAAGCATCGAGCTTCCAGCATAAACTCTTGAACATCACTTCAATCTCTTCCTGGTCCTGTTTCGATTCGTCATCCGGCTCGAAACCCATAGCAGTTTTCATATATTCCTTCTCGTAGATCTCACCTAGACCCTCTTTCGACTTTTCCATTGAAACATCCTCCAGTGCATTCTTTCTGTCCTCCTCATTGCCGGCAAATTTACGAATTACATCATTGTAATCTTCCTCCAGAATACGTTTTTTGATCATCTCCTCGAGCGCGATTGAAACTTCTTCAGTGATTACAGGAGCGGCCTTAACGGGTCTGTCATAATCAAGAACTGCTTCAAGCAAGCTATTCTCCGGACGCGCGGCAGAGCGCACTTCACCTTTAAGCAGCCATGGCTTCTCACTGATAGCTTCTTGTTCTAATTCCTGTATCTCTTTCTCCAAGCGTTTGCGCTGACGTTGGTGCGATGACAAAATCCCACGCTCAGCCAGCTCTTCGTCATCAGCTGTGTCCTCCTCGCCAAGTTTCGAGCGCTTGACAGCTTGGTTTCCTTGTTTGTCGCTGCTGCTAGTCTGTACGTCGTCATCAAGCACTTCATCCTCTTCTTCGCCACTTTCTCCTTCTCCGTCCTCATCACCAAAAAAGTCCTCGTATTTCATGTCCTCCGCAGTTTCAGCATCTGAGTCTTGTTCCATTTCGGAATCCCCCCCATCTTCATCAATTTCTTCGTCTTTTTCGTCATCATCAGCTTCCATGTCTCCATCGTCTTCCTCATCTTCAGCCGCTTTATCCATTTCATCCCAATCGAAGAAACCGTCCTCGGCAATATCGCGAGGCTTCTTTGCCTTCTTTTTTGCTACCGCCTTCACATTTTTTTCGTCATCCAAATCAATCGTGTCATCATCTAAGTTCTCATTGTCATTTACGTCCATATCGCTGACACCACTAGACTTTTCTTCCTCTAGCTTATCATTGTTTTCATCTCTTTCTAGCTCATCATTATTATCTGCTTCATCATCTTCGATCACACATTTCGGCTTATCCGATGGGAACAGTAGAATGTTTTCTGGATTCTTATGAAATGTGCGAATGCGCTGCGTTAACTCCATCACTAATGGACCGTTCAGCAAACGCAGCTGCTCCCAAATTTGGTCAGCATCAAATCCATCCACATAAAGCTCTTCAAGCGGATCTGTGCCACTATTTTTGCTTAAATACTTGGACGTGCAGTTGTACGCATGCTTGGCAAAAACCTTGATTTCGTTAGCAACTTCCTCTGACGACGTAAAAAATACCTGTATATCCAGCAGAACTTTGTAAAGTGTGCAGCACATATATAAAACCTAAAAGAATGGACGCACCTCTGGCTTTTGTAGTACCTTCTCGCGAAAGCTGCGAGTTACAGAAGCGTCCATGCTGACAAAGTTGCTACCTTTTCGTGATCCAGTCAAAAAAACTAAATTATTGTTCATTTTGATGTGTACCACATTGAATTATACCGACAATTATAGATCGCAGTCTACATGTATACAAGACAGCTTTTTGTCATGAGCGCAAAATCAATCGCTTATTTCTCATTCCTCACCATCATGATATATTCTTCCTATTTTCCGTTGACAACCTTCTTTTTGTTCTCGTCCTCATCGCTGGACAGCCCGTCACGCGGAATCTCAGCCCAGCCACCAGCAGGTACATCGCTTGGTTTCCGCGCATGTCGCTTTAAGAATTTATTCATCGCAAACATCGTAAACGAATCCCTTTGAAAAACTTGTTTCATCTTATCGTCGAGCAAAATCGTGCGCTTATCATTTGGATCCTGCAAATCATGCTCATGAATGTACGCCCATAATGCCTTTACAATCTGAGGTCGGGCCATGCGATCACTACCAACCAGCGACGCTAATTCGGGCGACAGCGAAAGTTCCGTATTGAATGCATTTTTTTTCTTCGGCTTGCTGTCGTCGGCCTCATCATCAGCTATAGTCGATTTCTTCTTTCGCTTGACCGACTTTTTCTTTGCCGCCTTCATCTCAATATCTTCGTCACTAGACACACCATCACGCGGAATTTGATCCCATCCTCCAGGCGGTAAGTCGTCAGGCTTGCGCACATGGCGCTTGACAAATTTGTTCATACTGAACATGGTAAATGAGTCACGCTGAAACACATTACGTAGGGCATCATCTAAGAGAATGAGCTTCTTGTTGCTAGGATCCTGCAAATTGTGCTCGTGGATGTAACCCCAAAGTGCCTTGACAAGCTGCGGCCGTGCCATTGTCTCCGCTCCCACCACTTGTGCGAGTTCCGGGGATAGACTCAGCTGTGCATTAAAGCCTCCACCAGCTTTCTTTTCTGATTTTTCAACTGTTTTTCGCTTACGCTTCTTAGCCGTCGCCTTCTTCTTTGAAGATGCTGCCTTTTTGCGAGGCGCACGCTCTGTTTGCTCATTTTCCGCGTCCTCATCTTCTTCATTCTGTTCTGGATGATTCTCTATCTCATCCTCATCCACATGTTGCTGCTCGATAACTTCTAAAATCGTTGCATTTATGACGTCTTTGTAACTTGACAGATCGGATTGGAATTGCGCCTCGAGCTGCTTGCGAATCATGCGACGCGAAAGCTGTTCTAAATCTGCGTCCTTCATGATTGAGCGAATGGCCTCCGCGATCTCTGTCACATTTACAGCGGGTGCCATGGGTCTTTGATCCAGTCCTGAAAGGTCTATTTCGAGCTCCATGTCTTCATTCATGGCGACTATTTAGATAAAAATTAGACAAATAATAAAAAGCGAAAGTTTGAGAACAAAATCAATTTCAAATGCAGAAGTTTCATAATCGTTGATAGTATTCTACCTACAATTCCACTTGTTGCGCCATACTAAAAAAGAGAATGGATGAAACTTAAATATGCTGAAAGCTTCCTGTAATGGAGTGGATCGAGCACTTTGCAGGGGTAAACATGACTTAGCCTACTGTCTGGAAATTATCATGCTAGTGTAAGAAACGAACATAGAGATGAGTAGATTGGGCCCTCAAGCATAAAGAAGTGTCCTCAGTTTCGCATATGTATAATTCTTGTGCCTTAAGTTACCGAAATGGGAGGACACATACTGACTTCCCACAAACTACCTTCTTACATGCATTCTCATATGAATTACTAGCAGGTTGAGTTAGCCGCAGTGGTATACCGACAGCAATACTCAATACGAATCCACATGCCAGACAGAACTTCATTCGGAATACAATCGCACCCAGAGTTGATGTTGGAGAACATTTGCACTACATTTGATTAATTGTATCTACTGATATCTACATAGTAATAACAATCTTGTTTTGCTTAACGGTACTTACCGATACCTGTGAAATTATGTCGGTATTGACTTGGCTACAGAGAAACAGCATGTTTGTTGACTTGACATAAGCTGATCCAGCTTGATGCACTTAAACTTGATAGCTATAACTTGGAACCACGTTGACGTGCATAGCATTCGCCATACCACGTCGCGGCTCAAGAAGTTTGATCGCTGCTAGGTTGTATGCCCCATGATCATAGACTCAACGTGAGCTTGTAATGGGGAGACGTACCCTGTACGAAGGGTGGGTCACACAAGACGTTATGACCGTACAAAAGTGTGGATTTCACAAGACGGTGTGATCACGCAATGGTGTGACTACATCGTAACAAGAAGCCACTACGAGGCGGGACTGCCAGCTGTCATGCATGTTAATTCGGTTTTACCATTTAGTTAGGGAAGTATAAGGTTTTGGATATAGGCGGCTCTGCCGCAAATAAAATAGATAAATACAGTTCTCGATTTTGAACGGAGTTGTGTATTCGCCTTGGGTTAAGGTTGTAATTGCTCTTGGAGGTAGCGGATTGCGATCCGCCACACTCGCACTGGCTCTGGTATAGAGCGTAAGGTCGGTGACCTTAGCTTAGCTTGTTTAAGCAAAGAGCTACGGCAGCATTGCTGCACTTGGTAGCACTCGTAGTCAATCTACGCCTGAATCGTTACGACTGATCTACTGTGCGGATAATGCAATTCTTCTATTTGCTCCAGGGCATGCAGGACGTGCATAATAAGCTGATGTCTCTGCTCGGCCCTGAGGGCGTGCAACACCTTGTTTTGCAAGGACCTGAAGTGATAAGTGTGCGCCTAAAGAATATTTCAAGTTATGACATTGCTTTGCTAGAGCATCAAGATAAGAAGATGTCGGCATCGACTGCGTCCATGACGCCACCGTCGACGACGGATGACTTCTCACGACCCAGGCCGCTCGTGGTGAGCGTTGAGACCTTAGGGGGTATGGGTGGAGAGTATCTCCTTCTCTGGGTGAGGGAGGTCGATGTGGCTATGGCTTCCGCCATGAACATCAGCGCGTGGCGCTAGCTACATCTAAGCTCGGGAGCCGAGTCCGAGAATGGGCACTAATGTGCGGTACTTCTGTTGAAGCGGCGTTTCACTCCTGAAAGGAGCTGAAGCTGCAGCTTTTGCGAGTGTTCTCACTTTACCGGGCACATCGCGTGCGTTCTTGTTTCCTTACTGCCCGACAGGGCAAGAAGGAATTGGTGAACTTTGCCAAGAGCTGAGGACTCTGATGGCAGCAGATCGTGTTTTAAGGCGGTCGCAGTGACTGCCTTAATGGAGCGCCTCCGCACTGGCGTAGCCAGAATGAAAGTCTTCCATCTGAATCTGTCTTCTTTTGAAGAAGCGGTGAATCTGGCATTATATGCAAAATTAGACTTGAAGTCGGCGCGAGTTGGCTGGAATGCACATCCTCAGAGATCGTCGAGCGGACCTGAGCCATTTGATCTCGAGCTGAGAAAGAGGGAAGAGCTCCGAGCTGCCGGGTAGCGTTTAAACATCCGTTAATCGTCTGTGGAGACACCCGTCACTTTCTGACTGGTTGTCCCCTGCGCAAGGCGCGTAAAGGTTCATCGAGCCGACGTCCTTATTCCCGACAGTCTGGCTTGTCGCGGGGAAAAGACAAAACCCAGTAGGCGCGGGGCGCCCAGCTGGGGAAGAACTAATTTCTGTTGAGTATCAAAGATGTAGAGGGCAGCAGGGCCCAGCTCCGTAGAGCTCCGTACTCTTGAACACGGAACGTGTATGCAAGCCGGGCTTGCTGGTCGTGAAAGCGACCGTGGAGGGCTTGGAAAGGCCATGAAGGGTCCTTATCAAATTCGGGGCGACAGGCAATAATAATCGACGCTCCACGATGGAGGAAGTCAGCTATATGCTGAGGCGCTGAAAGCGCGGTTGAGTGATACCGTCACTGTTCGCTTAGCGACGGGGGCTTGCGTCACTGTGCCGAAGGTCCCTGTGGACCTCGGTGTCAAGTTTCTTGACTTCAATAGCGTGGAACGCTGCCCAGTCTTAGACTTGTACTCGAGGTATGACCTTTTCCTTGGTATGGCACGGTTGGAACACCATGAACCATGGATCGATTGGAGGTCGAAGACCCTGGGCGCTATGGGCACGTCTCATGGTGGGGCTTTGGTGAGTCATCAACCCACCTCTGCTAGGAAGCAAAAGCGTTTTTGGCGCGGGCACTGGACCGGGACGGTCAACGTGCTGGTTATCGGAGTAATCGATTTGTCAAACACCGAAGGTGTATTGGCCAAGAGTGCCGAGCATGGCTCGCGAGCTGAACGTGGAGTGGCACGTTATCCACTGAGCACTGCTCACGTGACAAACGAATTGCTGCATGCCAAAATGCATGGTCGGACGAGGTTCGAGGCATCAAGGGCGAGGCCCTAATGGGGCGCGTGGAGTGGCATGCTATCCACTGCATAAAAACCGCGGAAATAGCAGCTCTTCGTCGGACGTTGTTGATAACATCAAGGCTCCGATGGAACAGAGGGAAAAGCCATCTAGTGCGTGCTCCGACTGGCCTCGATGAGATGTAAAACCTCCATAGAGAGGAGACGGCGAAGCCGTTTGATATCTGCAAAGCGCAGGGCGTCGACCCTGATCCAGGGTATGTCCTGGAGGAAACCAAGAGGGTGCTGAGCATACGAAATGGATCGTCAATATTGAAGGATCCGTACTACTTTATGGTAAAGCATTTTCCAGACGTCGTCTCCAAAGACCAGCCGTCGGCCCTACCTTCGGACCGAGGTCTGCGTCATGAGATCGACTAGGGTCCGGGAACCAAATACTGCGAGACACAACATAGAAATACGGAGCGCGACTGGAACAAAATACGGAACATACGGCATTTTATTGAAAACCGGTGCTAATCCTCACTAATTCTTTAATAAAGAGCGAG